CCAATAAATGAGCGTCAGGTTAAATTAGAATAAGACAAGTTTTACTAGACATACAATAACGTTCGGTCTATTCCTTCCACCTTCCATATAGCATGTTTCACCGACAATTAATTTCACCGGCATATATTCACCAACATTATTCGAATTTTCTTTTTTTTTTTTTGGTAAGTTGATTGTTGGCGAATAATTGTCGGCGAAATGATGCGAAACTCGTAGAAAAATTCAAATAAACTTCATCAGACGTCATTGAACATAAGTTTCGGATATGATTAATACGACCAGGAGATGCGACTATGCTCACCTGCTTCAGACTATCATCGATTACAATAATAAGCTAAAGCCACTCATTTTCTTTATGGGGCTAATTGAATGAAATACCAAAGCTTGTTATCTTTTTATTGACAGTATGTGATTGAGGTTAGGGTTCAAGTTCCAATCAAATATTACATGAAGTATGTAAAAGAGAATAATGAAAGCTGAATCAAAACACGAAAACGAAACACATCTATTTATAAGAATTTTGCTTACTGAAGAGCTGATAGACCATCGCTCGATAGTCTATCAATTTCTCTATCATAATATATCTAAATGATAAATAAAATATAAAACGAAAACTTTGAAAAAAGACAATGGTTGAGAACTGCTTTCTAACTTGGCGGGCCCCCCGGGAATTTCCCGCCACTTGTTCATAAAACGATATTTTTCTTGGCATGCATGTGATTAGCTTGCCTCCCCTTCCATAATCAATCCCGAGCAGCGGGAGCGCGCTGTAATCCCCCCGCCGCCCCCGCGCCGCAAGTCATCGTCTTCTTCGCTTTGCGACCAGTCAGCTGATGAGAGTGGGATATGGCAACTCTCTTGTTTATGCGGAGGTTGGGCAAAGATTTGTTCAGAATGATTAATGCCCTAAGATCTCCCCCAAGAGCGTAGTTTATTAAAAGAGGTCTTAATGACCTAACTCTTAGTGTTATTATGTCATTTGGTACAGTGTTTAGTACCGTATATAAAATGTCTATATTTGTTGGGGGTTGATGAAGGCGTATTTTGCCTTTGTTATTATATTTTCGAGTAGACATATTTTGTCTTTATTGTTAAGGGGAACAAGCGAAGATAGCATACAAGAAAGGGTGAGACTCTTACTTATCGTAATTGCAGAATTGCTGCTGTCATCCTTATCATCCAATCATATCTCATATATGATAAGAGTCGTCATAAAAAGGTAGAGGCTAAAAGCGGAGTGGTATCCGGGCATTTTAATTTGCGTTGTATTGGCTGGAGTACAAATTTGACCAATGGGAGATTGTTCCGCTTTATATTTAGACATGGTTAATGTTACGACACACGTGTTCCAAGATTGTTTAATATATATCTATTTTTTATTAGGCTAGAAAACACTCGGTTGTGCAATCCCCAAACTTAGAACCGCCATAACATGTACTCATACAATTGATAATATCTCAACAACTAAGTGGTTATTCGATCGAGGACGGGACTAACCGATCACTTCTATTAAAGGAGACAAGACACGGAGTTAGATAGCGCAATGCTAGCGTGATATGGTGCCAGCAATGTAACAAAAAAAAAGGATTGGACAAGCAACACGAAAAATATAATCAGAGAAACACAAAGGACGAGGATAATGTAATTTAATATCAATATCCTTGTCTCAGAATTACGACCAATCATAGGAGCAAGGGTAATTCGAAGTCGCATTCGATTCTGAATTCCTACAATCTCAATCTTTGACACGGAGTAATACCCGGCATTACACAGTGTTTCAAAATGCTAACTTTGCTGATAGGTCTTTCCACTTTCATACAAGAAAGTATCGTGCTTTATACGGAGTTCATGTTGTGATTCAGGCAATTGATATTCTGTCGCAAATAGAATCTGGGGGGAGGTGAAAAAAGTGAGTTTGAAATAGGGTATGCGTGTCAAGAATTTTATTAATCGCGCTAATTAATATGTTGATGATTGTTTATATGATTAACTTTACCTAGTCGACTCATACATACACCAATCAATTCAGGCTTCAGCGGCGCCAAATGTACTAAGCTTGGTCTACTTATGACAAATTCTGCTGAGCGAAAATTACCGCCTTCTGACCGGATCGAAGGAAATGCGTCCGTCATAGCTGTTCTATGAAGTAGTCCCGCTAGACAA